GGGACTGAATGATGCAGTGAAGTCAGGGTTGGACAATTCTTCTGTCAGTGATGCTTAAGGTGTTAAGTTGCTCTGGGGAAGAAGGGAAGAAACTTTTTTGATCTTGCTGTGACTGACTGCCTTCTACAGTTAAGCGAAGACATGAACAAGTGACTACAGTCAGTGAAGGCATAAACAGATTGATGCTCCTTATATTGTTTTAATAACCTGTCTTGCTTCCAGTTTGGATCAGTCCTCTCCCCAGAGGTAAAAGCAGTAGCCAAAATAGGCTGATACAGATACTGTTACTTTGAGAGCACATGCCTGTTTATTGATAGGGTCAGAAAGGACAGAATAGTGAGCTAGCAGGAGGGAGAGCTACCTTCTCCTCTCCACTGGTATACCCCTAAATTTTCTTGTCAACATTTCTTATATTCCATTTCGACGCTGGATGTGAAGACACCATCTTGCATCTGCAGGCCTTCATACCACAGGCTCTTTAATGAGACTTCAAGCAAGGATGCTGCTTGCACTAACTGTGACAGGGAAGCTTTTCCCTTTCTAGGATCCAAACACGAACTCCAAATTTATTTTTACATAGGTCATTATATAGCTGCTGAAGGATAACTTTTGATTAATGGTGATGAGAAGATAATTGGGACCACCTGACCCAGATGTGGTAGAAGGTCTCCCTAGCTCGAAGCACCTGATCTTCCTCACTCGATTGTCCAAAACAAACATACCTTTCACCATTACCTCAAGGCATTTACAAATCCATCTGTATTTTGGATATGATGGTGTATCTTTTTATATTGTGACGTCAGGGCTAATAATTCATAGTGGTAGGCTCCATGTGATGTCTGCAGTCTTTCAGAATCATCTTTACCTTTACAGAAACATATCTCCCATTACACCAAAGAACTGACCAAAATGTTCTGACCTTGTTAAAACTACAGACGTGTCTCCTTGGAGATAATTAATCAATCTTTCGAGATTACTCTTTCCATATTTCTTTCCTTTGTGGCTAATTGCTACTTACACTTCAACAAAGACATAGAAGGCTTTCTTTTTAAAAATTTCCTGCTTGTAATCAAGGATAGTGCTTTCCTGTATTTAAAAAAGATTTTTAAAAACCCATCTTCATTCCTTTTTAAATGCTGGCTATCCAAAAGGTCTTTTCCAGTGTCATAAACTGCTTCGAGTTTCTCCTGAACTTCATTTCAACAGAGGATTATTTTGGTTCACATGAACTGGGACATAGTTTTGGTCATACAGGAAGCTATAGTAAAACTATGAAGAAAATAATGTTTACCTCATGATTTAAGGCAAAAAGATTTGTTACCATGCTCTGATTTCCCTTCCATGTGATTGGAAAGGGTCACAATTGCTTTAGAAATGTGTGTCTGAAGGAGATGACCTGAGTTTGAAAGTAATTTCTTATTCTTCTCAATGTTCCTTCTGCACTGTAGACCATTGAGTAATAAAAGCTTAGTCAAAGTAGTTTTGTAAAAAAAGTCAGTGGAAACAGATCCTCAAAACACGCATCATGCATGTTTGTATTTTCCAAGGTGGTGACTGAGATGGCAATCTTAATCAGTTTGCTTTTGTTTGTAATGCCATCATATACTCAGATGATGAATTGTCTGTGGTTCTGTCTTCTTCCATCATCACTAAGAAACCCCTTTCTTCATTGCTGGGTAGGCTTCAAGGTGTGGTACAAATAGTTGCTTGGGATAGACAGGGACAACAGACTCCACATGTGTCTCAACACAACGTCTGAGAGTACAAGAATGGTCTAGTGTTGCAAAAAAAAAAAAAAAAAAAAAAAAGCTGTTGCAAACAAAGAAAATTAGGTTCTTTGTTTCTTTTGTTATCTTTTCTGTGCTCTGGAATTCTCAGCCTTGTACTCTTTGAGCCTATTGATTAAGTAAGAAGAAAGGAAATGCTTTACCATACTTTCACTTTTTCTTTATGTGCTTGCCCAATAGTATATATATATATTCTTCATGAACAGAATTTTACCCTGCAGCAGCATGAAGCTGGCATACTCTTGTGTCCGCTGGCACCGAGCAGCAGAACTGAAGCTGAGCAGTCTGTCAAGTTTATCTTTGGTTTTGTGAAGTAATGAGCCTGCTTAGGCTTGGTTTTAATTTTATTCTCCTGCAGGAGAGTGGGGTCTTCCCACCTGCAAGAAAGAGTTTCTCACCTACAAGAGCTAGGAATCTTATTCTTTCTGTTCTTCCTCTCTACCACAGAGATCCTTGCATGTGCAGTGTTTACTTCCTAATGATCTGAGCATAACATGATCACCTGTGTGATTTTACCAATTTGGATATGCTAAACTGATTAAGTAACATGTTATGTGGAATTGTTTGTCTTTGTTCACCTTGCTAAGAGGCCTGGCCTCTGGGAAGTCCTTTACTGTGGTATCTCTTAAAAGAAGCTTTTCCTTTCAGCTGCTTGTGGCCTACTTCTGGCATTTGCACGTGTGCATCTCCTCAGAGCATTGTAGGAATAAAAATTACTTTCAATGTCTCCATTGTTCTACCTACTTCTGTTAATTAAAAAAAAAAAAAGTTTTTGTTATTTTGTTTCTTGACACATTATGCTAGGCAGCAATTTATACTGTATCTCTACTAACGTGTACAGTAAAGCTGGAATCCTTTCTTGTTGGCTTAACTGACTTCTCTCTGTGTATCTTTTCACATTTTAACATGTCAAGATCTCTTTTACAAGTACATACTGGAATTGAGGCTCCAGTCTAGAAGGCTGCAGTGTGAGAACAAAGACGACTTTAATATTTTTCTTGGGACTTCCAAAACCTAAAATACATAAAACATTTCCATTAAAATGTCTGGATTGATGAAGGGAAGAAAAAAGCCTTTTCCTCCAGCAGTGGCTTGATTAATGGATTTATTGTTTGTACAGATTTTTCAGGAAGCCATATGGCCTGAGGAAGACAAAGAGGAAGTGGCTGATGTTGAGAATCTGATTTAATAGGGGTCCCTAAGGACAGAATGTGGCTCTTATCCTTAGGCCTTCCCACTCAGTTTGCAGAGTGGTCTGAGAAGAGCTTTAGCGCTTCAATTGAGCTAAAGATAATGCGGCTCTGTTTGAGTGGAAGTGTCAGTCCCTACTGCTGGATCAGCATCACAGCTACTCCATTCTCAGGTTAAAAATCCACTATTCTTTGCCTGTTGTGTAAAGTATTCTGGAGTAATTAACAAGGAGCTGTAACTGAAATGTTTACTACTCATATCTTGACAGTTGATCAGTTTGCAGTAGATGAAGGCAACTTTAACATCTTCAAGCTGAGCTCTCATAGTTTGAGGTGAGATGGTATTTCTCTCCTCTCTACCTCACCCTCCCCCCAGAAAAATTCAAGGATATATGTCTCTGGATTAACTGAGTCACCATCTGTACCCTACAACCAGATTTATTTTCCTAATCTAACGTGTATATGGGGATTGATGAGTAACTGGCGCTCAAGCACTGGTCTTTTAAGCTGATGTTGGTGGGTTAAATGAATGTTCAGCATTATCTATGACTTTGACTCTAGTTATGACTATGGGGTGAATAAACCCAAGTAGAGCATCTAAAGCAATGTTCTATAATATAACTGCAAGCAAATACATTAAGGATGTTTAACAAGCACTTCTTCCTTGTATGAAATTGCAGCTTCTCGGCTGAAAGGCATAAATTTACCGAAAACTGGTTATGGTAATTTCAGAGCTGAAGCGAAAGGCTTATATGAACCTTTAGTAATTAATTGTTAGTGGGTCCACAGAGTGGAAAGCACAAAACATCACTTCACAAAAACATATTCTGGCAAGTTGGGAATCTAATGAATATTGGTTCGTGAACAAAAGCTACATATTCAGCCAGTGGTAGTGAATATAATTTGATATGTGCCAGGAGCTCCTGAATGTCCTATCTTGAGGTTTTTGGCCATAATGAAAGAAGTAATTACTCCTGTAGGGCTTTGATGTGTAGCATGTGTGGTCTAGTATTTTACAAGAGGCTAGACCTTCCAGACCTTTAAGAGGTTTTCGTTGTTTTCTGGACCCATATGACGTGCTTATGCTGGAGTTGGTGCTTACTGAATCTTTTCATATAGCTCTGACAGGTACTAGGAGAAAAACAGTTTATCTCTACAAAATTCAGTGGCTAACAACAGTGAAAGAGGAGGCATTGAAAGACTAGAGGAAAGCTTTCCTGATTTAGATCTACTCTTCTATGCTTCTGTCAAACTGTAAAGTTCCTCTTTAGCAATATGCGTAGTAGATATATTCCTTTAAAATATTATTCAGAAAGTCTTTGGTGGTGAAGGTTTAAAAATAACAATTTTTCATGTGGCTTGAACATAGTATTAGGCAATGTTTGCCAGTCTGTCACAAGGATGCTTTCAAACATCATTGGAGTAAGCATCCCTTCCAAACTGATTAATATTAGTCTTAATCAGCAGTTTGGGATTTGTTACCCTTTGCCTAGTTTGTTTGACTACTTATGCATGCGCTGGACATGATTCACTACTGCAAGGGAGTCAGGGTGTGCAGTTCAAGAGCACTTGGAGGTTTTTATGTCTGGAACACCTCCAGTTGGAGGATTATTTTCCTTAAAAAAAAAAAATTAGGGAAGAAGATTGTGAAATAATCTCCTATATTTACAATCTAGCAGCAGTAGGTGCTCGTAACTACCATATACAGTGCTTAGTTTTTTCCTGATGTTATAGGAAGCTGTTGAAATATTGTTTACCACTCTTAGTTATTTATAGCAGGAAAATGTCACACTAAGTATAAGAGGTAGCAAATTAAGTGCAGTATTTGACATTTCTTTTGAACTAACTTCTAAAAAAATAAAATACTACTGTGTGTAGCAGGCTGTTATATATCCATATCTGTAGGTGCTAAGTGAATGCTGTATTTTTCCAAAGCATTAAAGGGAGGAGGTGGAATAAGACTTTATCCTCAAGAAGATAGTTTTACTAATGTGTAACAATGTTTTTGGTTTTTTTCTTCTAGCAACTGACCTTGTCAGCAGAGTTGACACCTATGCCTGGAGTAGCAGATTGCTTTAAGCCCACTGTATAAGCAGACATCTCTGTCTGTCTTCATCTGCAGGTAAGAAGTTATGACCAAAAAACTTTAAGTAAGAGTTTTCCTTCTCCCTTCTGAAAGTATTTGCACGTAAAGCATGGCAAGAACTCGAAAGCTTAAATAATTTCATACATAGATATTCATCACTCCCCCTTGCTTCCTAAGGTTAGAAGTCTGAGCAAGATCTCAGCTCCCCTTCTCTGTGCAACATTTGTTTTCTTAAAACAGTTGTGTTCCTGAGCAGACCTGCAATGATCCTGCCAACTTTGTCTCTTCTACAATGTGTTTCCCAAGTATATGCCCCTTCCAGCTGTGTAAGAGAGAAACCCAAAGCTACCCTGAAACTGAGGAATGTGCCCTGAACAAGAGGAGACTTTTTTCCCCAGCTCCCCTGGTTGTCAGGCCACCTTGGGCAGCAGTTCTTGGTGCTAGCAACAGCTGGCAGGTGACTTGTAGGTCCATCCCACCCCCAACAACCCTACAGTCTAGCTGCTTCCCATTCATAATGTGAACATGCATTTAAAACACAGTGCTGGATATAAGGAGACATCCTCAGCTTGGTAAGTCAGACACTGTCAAAAATTCAGAAGAGATGTCAGGAAAACAGTAGCAGATAATGTTTTTTCTGACAGTGTGATTAATTTTTGATGTAGTGAAAACATCAGAACTTGGAATTAAGCACTATGAAAATATATACTGTCAGATTATACATTAGCATTACTTTTCATACTGCTTTGATTTGAGTCCTCTGTTTTATGATGTCAATGAAGTTAATGAAACAAGTGGGGGAAACTCACTCTTCCAGTGTGTTCTGGAGTCTGTGAGCAGAATGCAGTTTCTTCTTTGGCTTGTTGCAGTTTATGAACCTTGCTAATTTGTAAGCTTTTGGGTGGTAGACTTCTATACCAATCACTCCTCCTTCAACATTTTCCTGTGTAGAATACCATTCTACAATGACTTCTATTGCAAATACATTATTTTCTAGTAGTGTCCTGTTGATAATTGAAGCAGATGAGGGACTAATATAACTAAGTATTTGCCAAAATGATATCTTGCTTTGTGTTTAAGTTCTGTATAACTGAAGTACAAGCAAGCTCAAAGGCAGAGCAGGCTTTTCTTACTACATGAAAGTCTGAAGCACACCATCATTGGTGGTTCTTCCAGTCCTGTGAGGATAGGCAGTAATATTGCATGACTGAAAGTATTTACTTTCATTGTCCTTAATATAGTATAGAATGTTAACTAGTAGAAATATATATACACACATATATCAAATGCACTATGTATATTATATAGGAGCTTTGCTGAAGTGTATAGGACAAGAGGAAACAGCCTCAAGTTGTGCCAGGGGAGGTTTAGATTGGATGCTTGGAGAAAGAGTTCACTGAAAGGGTTGTCAAGTATTGGAACAGGCTGCCCAGGGAGGTGGTTTAGTCGCCATCCCTGGAGGTATTTAAAAGACATGTAGAGCAGCACTTAAGGACATGGTTTAGTGGTGAACTTGGCAGTGCTAGGTTTACGGTTGGACTTGGTCTTAAGGGTCTTTTCCAACCTAAACGACTCTGATTTTATATGTGTGTATGCATATATACATAGGTACAGCATTAAACATGCTCTGTTGTCTTGGGGTCTAGCTTTAGAGACTGACAGTGTCTTAAGTTGTCCTGTATTTGGGAGGTCTTTTGGGTTATCCATTAAAGTACTTCAGTCTCACATTCTAGACACGTTACATATCTCTTTAGAAACAGCCAACTGATTTGTATTAAAGTAGACTTTTCTAGAGTATTAATTGCTGCCTACAACCACCACAGCATATTGTTGCTAAAGAATGTAATCCTGTGTGGTGGAGTAGTACCAGTAGTGAAGACAGTCCTGTTGACTGAAACAGCATGCAGAATTTATAAAGACATAGTTCTCTTATTTTTCCCAGGTGGCATTTAGCCAGAAAGCGTGTGTGTGTGTATGTTAACCTTGTAACTCCACAGAACTGAGAATGTGGCTATATTGAGTCAGATTTTCTTCTGCCAAGTTAAAATATTTAAGTATTTGTTGCTACTATTATTTGAGTAAATATTTAAGTATTTGTTGTGACTATTATTTGAGTAAATTCCTTTCAGTGGAGCAAGTCTGTGGCTAGCTGCCAGGTGACTGGAGTGTCACCTCTCTATTTGTCACTTTGAAATGAGCCATATGAGTTATGGTCTTTGAATGATTTGTATTGTATGAGAACAGGAGGTATATGACTGCTGAAAATTCATCAGGATGGTGCTTACCCACCCTCACATGGGGAGAGTTACTTATTTACCTTCATTTGTTTTCAAAACCCACATTTTTTCATAAGCATCACTAATCTAATATGTTGTTATTATGTGACTTCAGTTTGCTGTTTATTGTGGGGCACAAGACAGTCAACTTGTATTATGTGGTTTAATAAAACCCTTCTTCCCAGCTGAAATAATGGAGTTGTAATTGATTTTTGTACTTAAAAAATAATTTAAATCCACTTTTATTCAGTCTCAATCAATAAATAAAATGACAGAAGAAAACCATCATTATACCCATATATAAATTTGTGGTTTCCACAAGCTTTGAATAGTCTTTGCAGTTTGGTTCCCTCACCTCTGAGAAGGCAGTGGAACTGGCAAATGCTTAGAGGAGGACAGTATGAGTGATGAGAAATAGAAGCAATTTAGCAAACAAGGACTTTTCAGTCCGAAAGAAAGCCTGTTTTTAATGTAGGAGGGGAGCTTACAAAATCATGAATGAGATCAAGACAAGCAGGACTTAATTCACTCTGGCAGCATAAGTACTAGTGGACATCAAATGATGCTAATAGGAACCTAGTTCAGGTCATTCTTCATCTGACAGGAATTAGATCTGTGGAACTCCTTGCCATGAAGCTGTGAAGACTGAAGAGTGGAAGAGAAATCCAGTTGAGGCTAATAAATAAAAGTCACATCTGTGAGTGCAAGATCTGGGACCAGTTGAAAGACAACAGAGCTTTCAAGAGAACTATAAAGTATTCTTGGAGCCTTTTTCTTCTTCTCTAGGCATTTGCTATGACTCCTTGTTTCTTTTATTTTTATGGGTTAGGAATTTTAATGTCCAGTATTTTTCCTGTCTTCTAGCTTACTGAGGCAAGGTCTCAATCTTTTCCACAGCAGCATCAGTCAAGGTTTCAGATCCTGCTCCATGTTCTTTCCCAGGACCACTACCCTTCTCACATCCACAGTTTCTTCATGCAAGACGTTCAGGACAGCTCTCTTTTGTGCTCAGATTGTAGTTGTGCAAACTGTTTCCTTTTGGATGTCATAGTCACAGCTGCAGTTGCCTTTGAACTGTTTACTAGCAAAGGTAAGATGCAGCTAGTCAGAATAAACATGTTTTATATCACCAGATGGTGAAAAATCTTAGTCGCCCTCAAGGGTGATGGAATGTCCTGTCAGGGGCTTCAAAGATCTACTGTGCAAGGTCAGTATCAGTGACCTGCTTACCTGCTTAGTGATGAATTCCTGTTGGAGACAGATTTACAGGTCTGGATGGACACTTGGTCTTGGATAGATATGCCTATTCTTACTATCTTCAGGTGTTGTAGACTTTCTGAAACTGTCTTTACAGCTTAGAAAAGCAGTAGTTCAGGACAAGGTTCTTTGAATAGTAGGTGGTCTAGGACCCCTATACTTCATGAAACTGTTCAGTTGATAAATTAGAAATTTAGTCACATCTCTAGTTCATTTCAACATGAGTGACCTTCTCTGAGAAACTTTGTTTTCCACAACTTTGTCCACTTCTCATATTTAAAAATTGACCTGTTTTTGAATTACAGACTTTTTTTTTCTTTAAAGTTCAATGTAGGTCTCAAAATTGATTTAACTCGCAGAGTCTTAAATACAGTTGACAAAACCCTTTGTTTTGAGAGACATTTCGGAGCCTTTCACCAGCAGCACACTACTTTTTTTTTTTTTTTTGAGTAGTAATTTCTTACTGGATCAGGAGCCTGCTCTCCTAAGCAGCCTTTTCCTGTCCATTTGCATGACCTGCAGAAGTTTTCTAACTGGTTATCCACTGAATGTGGCTTCCAAACACAGAAAGGGAGATACTACATTCTCTGGGAAGCTTAATAAACAACAAAACCAGACTTTGTTGGTGTTTGAGCCCTGAAACTTCACGTGTATCCTTTAGCTGTAACTGTTGGACTGTTTTGTGGCCTGTGTTGTGCATGAAGTAGATGTCTTTGACCCTCCTAAGCCAAGAGTAATTTCTGCTACTGGCTGGACTCAAAAACCAGGGTGGATTTTCTTTTTCATGTGAATTCCCCAGGTCATGAATCAGAAAATACCTCATTCATTGATCTCTCTGTGATTCCACCCCCTCAACTTTGTCTGCCAGTATCCACTGAAAGAAATGAAGAGATGGGACAAGTTCCTGGGTGCTCTCTAAAGGGATTTCTGGTTCAGGGAGAGTTTTGCTCTGACAGGCCAGGAAGTTCTGGTTAAGGTGAGAAATAATCTGAAAGGAAATATTCTGCCTCTCACATTTTCATGGCTTTGCTTGCATGTTTCAATTTACTGTGTATACACATTTCTCATGCTGTCTTTGAGTCAGTACAGGAAAAAAAAGATTCCTTTGACAATGTTATCACTGAGATCCTTGAATTGTGCTGCATTCTTTGGTTTACAAGAAATGCTTTTCATCTCTTCTGTCTTTCAGTTCCCCGCTCCGGAATTGAGCACTGCACAATGTACCTCTTGTTCTCTTGCTATCTGTGTTGCAGCTCTTTAATGACCTTGCACTTGTTCAGACTGGTGGGATAACATAGCTGCAGTTGAAGATACCATGATGTGTGCATGTTTCTTTTGTTTTCCTTACTTTTTCACATGTTTATTACGTGTAGCTTCTTGACTTCTTGCTTTCTCATTTAAGGGTGACGTTCCTTCCCCATCTTACTGTCCTAGGTAAATTTGTCCTTATGTAAAACTCAGATCTCGTTTACAAGTCATTTAAATCTGGAAATATTTGTAGCACTTGCACTTCAAGTTTCTGAAATGCATTTAAAGTTGAATACTATGACTTTGTTTCTGAGGAAATATACTGGTCTTAAGTTTAAAAAAATAGTAATTCTGCCAGTGGTTTTTAAAAATTGGGATTAATTATTTTCTTGCTAGCTGAAGGCACACTGAAAATGGAATGTTAGTGGAGACAGTATGTCTGGAAACAAGGGCTGAAGTATTGATAGTAAATGACGGGGAGGGTGGTGTGTGGAAATGCCACTTACATGAAGAGACAGGAAAGCCTAGCTTTTCTGCTTCAAAAATGTTTGATTAGTTCTTTACTACTTGGAACATGGGTCACTGCGTCCAAGCCCTTGGTGTTGCAGGCAAACTATTTCATACTTCTGTTCATTAATTCATTGAGTTTTGGCAACTTTTTGCATCCTCTCACTGCTGCACTTGCTGGGTAGGCTTTTTCTGTAGAGAAGTGAAAAGAATGGGATCATGCGTTTCCTGTGGGCTCTACAATTTTAAGCTAGCTGACTGACCTTTTTGAGGTGGCAATTTCATTTCTATTAATTTATTGATACTAGAGAATTTTGCAATACTCTATTATTTGTAGTAGCAAGATGTAGAAGACCTCACTGATGGGTGTTTAATGATACACAGTCATTAAACATTTGAGAGGAAAAAATATGTGCATATTGCCCAACTTCTAACAGCTCAAAGTTTTTACACTTGATGTTTGCATAGCAGTAACAAAAAAATGTAGTTTTTCCAGCCTGCAACTGCAAAGATAGTATTGATTTTTGCACTAATTTCAACACACATTAGTCACTTCTCTCCCTGGCAGGAAAGAAACTCTGCTTTTGCAGGCATGTCATTTTAATACAATCTTGTTTCTTTTTACCATGAAGGTTTGGCTATTCTGTAGACTGCTTCCTACAAAGGATAGCTTCACAATGTTTAAAAATTAGAATTTCTAGGCTTTAAAGAAATAAAAGTTTACCTTTTGAATTTTGGTTTTTAAGGAAGCATGCTTTAGTAATTGATACCTTGAAGTGAGAAATACTTTAAGTTTTACTCCATTTAGCTGTTATACTGTCTGCCTCGTTCGTCAAATCTGTGAAAATCTCACAAATACCTTCAAGTTAATACTCAGATCATTCATCACTAAGTAGGAAGAAAAATATGGATGCCTACTTTTACTCTTCAAGTCTAGCTTTGTACTTTTAAAAGTAATTTAGTAATTTCAGATTTCTTTTGTATAACCTTTCCTAGGTCTGAGAAGACTTCTAATTGAATTATTAAAGCTTTTCCAGGAAGCTGTAGAACCACACCAACTGTAACAAAGATGGCCAAGCCTGACACCTGTCACCCATAACAGGATTATTACATTTTGGACAAAGCATCCCTTTGAATTCCTTATAGCAAGTTTTTGTTTCTTCACAAAAAAAAAAAAAAAGACCAAGGGCCCATGTGCTTTCAAACAAAACCAAAATGTTAAGATTCCAGCTTGCTGGTGAACTGAAAGAGACCTACTACGGAAATAATAATTCCTCACCCATCACAGAGACACATAGAACCACAGAACATGAGTTTTTAGAAGCAAAGTCCTCTTCAAAATAGAAAAATTTAAAAATTAAGGGTTATTTACCACCCTCCCTTACTCTCCCCCTTTTTTTCCTGCAGATTTTTATTTCATACCCAGGATTTCACATTAATTTGGATTATTAGGAAGGAAGCGAAGTGTTAAGACTGCCAGAATTCACTGCGTTATAGTTTTGTTTAATAGATAAGTGGTTAGCACGTTTCTAAATAATGTTCAAGTCTCTCCCTTCCCAGAGGGCATTGGAATTGACATTTCTACTCTAACCAGACCACAGGATTTCCTGAACTGAATGTCCTCAGTGGAGTACACTGAGATAGTTTGCTACTCTCTCTTGATGGCCGTATCTCTGGGAGATTCCCAGCGTTGGAGTCCCTGCTGCAGGGAGTGCCTTAGTTGTGCATATGAAATGGCAGGGTGTCTGGAATGGTCTTCCTCAAAATCCTGTAGCCTGATGATTAGCACAGTTTCTTCAGACATGGGAGATCCTCGTTTTGCGTTTTATGGATTAAGATTTCTTAAACCAGGATGTTGGCAAGGAACTGGTATGTGCATTCGTGTGCTTAGTGAAATATCATAAGTAAAACTACGTAGTTTTAGCACAAGTATTCAACCTGAAGTCAGAACACAGTTTAGGAGGTTTATAACTTAAAATCAGAGCAGAATTGAAATAAAGTGTTGTATTTTTAAAGATGTTTGTAGTTGGATCCTTGCTCTCAAGAGTCATTATGTGTATGCTTAATTTTCCTGTGAAGCTAGTAGTATGTATGAAGTAAAGCATGTTTTTGAGCCAGTTTAGGCTTAGGGTTCTGTTTGTGTTTGAGTGGAAAATACAGTCTTGCAAACTACGATGGTCTTCATAGATTATGCAGTAAAGATTGGCCATGTGTGTTCTTTTACTGTGTCCAAGAACCTTACTTGCAAAGTGCAAGCTCCAACACTATTACACTAACTGAGTATCCTAAAATATACCTCCAGTAGTTTGCTGTTACTAGTTGAAACAGAGATACCTTATTTTGGAGCATGCTTGGACAATAGATACTTAATTTTGTTGGCAACCTTTTTTCATGTAAGAGGTAAAAAGAGAGTAACTAAAATATAGTTACCATATGTATACCCACTGTTTTTTTCTATACTGTAAAAAGTTCCTAGATGTTATTTAGACGTTTTTAGAAATCTGTCTATTCAGACAGGAAGATGGATAATTAATGACCCTGCTCAAACAAGGTTTTCAGTAAACGGGGAGAGGAATGACTGTACCGTGATGTTTATTTCTGGATAGGTTTGAGATTTTTTTATCTGAAAATAATGCTCTTCCCTGTGTTTTTAGCTTGGTTTAGAAATATAAGACTTAGGAAACGTGTTTGATTGAGAGGCTCAGACAGGGTCAGATAGCTATAATAATACTTGAAGAGAAAATGCTGTTAGTTCCCTTTCTGTAACACAAAGAAACAAATTGTTTTGATGATTGGCTCTGCTCAAATAATAATACAAACATCAGAGGACTTGCATCTGAAGTAGATACACAGTCAGGAAGCTGAAACATGTTGTTCTCCTGAGGGTCCTGTAAGGACGAAGCATCTTTATCATTTTAAAGTATTTCCAAGTATAATCTAAAATAGATGGAAGAAGCTTGCTAGACTTTTAAATATAGAAACAAGGGCTTTATTCAAGAAATTAAATGTAGCGATTAATATGGCCTTGGCCTTTTATTGTAGCCAGTGATGATAATTTTTTTTTCAGATTGGAAGTCTTGGAAAAATGCGAGTTCTTCAGTTGTGGAGGTGTGCAATTGTATGGCAGAGGCTTGTTTTCCAGCCAGCTGTAAACAGCTGTGTGCAGCACGTATGGCTTGTGTGTCTCCTGCCTTCCACATGACTGCACCCTCCATCCCTTTTTTGAAGTAAGTCATGGCGTACGAATGCAATATATTAAAATATATCTGTTAACTTGTGTTAATTATCTACTCGCTCTCAGTAAACCTGTATGATTTTCTTGACATCAGTGTGAGCCATATGAAGGCTGAAGCACTCCTCTTACCTCTGTTGCTGAGAGCATTCCAGCAGTCCATATCTAAAGCATGTGTAGGCTGCTTTCTGCCATGCCATACATTAGTGATGCATTCATCACTGATTTGCTGGTCAGTATGCTTGAGTATGCTCTAGCTCAACTCCTGATTTTGCGTATGTGTAGACAGTGCAAGCTGGAGGTACAAATATACGTACATGGTAGTACAGACTCTCAAACTTAATGTATAACAAAAATGCTTTTGCAAATTTGTTAGGTCTCTTTACATGCTTTATGTGCATGTTAGCAGGGTCGTTTGAGCCACATAAGTATCTTTTGCCAAACGCAGTGTTATCAGAAATTTTCAGAAGGGTTTGCGTAACTTACTGATTCTGAAAAACAACACGATGTGGGAGTCCTTGGCAGATAGCCATAAATCTTTGCCTACTATTTAAAAAATGGAAGCTATGTAATTCCCTTTCCCGTACAGGTACTTTTCTCACCTTTTTCACATAATCATAGAAAGTATGGGCTGGTCCTTGGGAGGCCATATAGTACAGCATCCCGTTTTTAAACGGAACCATCACCAACACAGGAGAAAGTCAGCTGTGGATTTGTCCTGGCCACGTCTTGAAAATCTACAGGGATGGAATTTTTCACAACCAGCCTGGCTAGTCTGTTGCAGGGCTGCCCTATCCTTCCAGAAAATAAGTTTTTCCTAATACCCATTCTGAATCTCTCTGCTATTCCTGGTCTTCAGAGTACTCTGGATGCTGATTAGAATGCTCTGTTCTCCCACCCCAGCATGCTGGGATCCTGGGGGAGTTAATACTCTCTAAATTCCAAACAAAATTTCCTAAGATGCTTCTCTGAGTAATGACTAAACAAAAATACTTGAAGTAGTACTGCTCATCTAGCTTCTAATTAATATGTATAATGAAAGCTTTTTGGTAAGATTTAAGACTATTTCACATCTTGGTATTGAAACCTACTTCAGAATTTGAAGAAAATAAATTGCTTTTCTTCCTTGTTTATTTTGTATCTGAAAGACTAACCTTGTAGAAAAAGTACGATGGTTTTATTAGAAGAAAACAAAGGGAAAGGACATCAGCAGTGTGTTATGTAGTTAATAGTCTCTAGTTCAATCTCTTCGATATATACTTAGAGTTTATTTAGACTGTTGGGGTTTTGTGGGAGGAGGGTTACGGGGCAGGGAGTGAATCTCTGCTTTCTTCATAGCTCAGGATCTTATTTTCTTCACTGAAGCATAGCTCTACAAAATAAAAAACCTAAATGCGAATGCAGGGAACCTCTAGAAAAATAACTTGTAAGTAGCGGTAGTTTCCGTCTCACAGCTTGTGTGGTCTGAGATAGGAAAAATATAGATTTCTGCAACATATTAAACTTTCCATTTTGAATTCCACAGTGGGTATATAAATCTTACCCTATGTGTAGCTGATGCAGAAGCTATGGCAGAACTGAAAAGATAACTTTATCTAGAAAATATAGGTGGTAATGTGTCGTGGTTTAGGCCTGGTTGGCAGCCAACCACAATGCAGCAGCTCTCTCTCCCTTCCCCTCCGGCAATGAGAAGGGACAGAGAGCCAGGCTTGGGGTTCGAGATAGGCCTGGGATGGGGAAAAATTCCCCTTTATGATCACGAGCAAAAGGCAGACTCGTTAGGGGCAGAAAAAAAAGAACATACATTTATTACAGACACTAACAACAACACATAACAGAGTAGGACAGTGAGAAGCATTGCCACATCTTGAGAACACCTTCCCCCCACCCCTCCCTTCTTCCCGGGCTCAGTTCTGCTCCCGATATCTCTACCTCCTCCCCCAGTGGCGCAGGGGCAGGGAATGGGGGGGTGCAGTCAGCACTGCCACTTCCTTCATCTTCAGTGAGGGGAGTGTCCGGAACTTGTTCCTCCTGCTCCATCGTGGTCCCCCTCTCACAGGAGACAGTCCTCCACAAACTTTCTCCGACATGAGTTCCTCCCATGGGCCGCAGCATTCCCCACACTGCTCCGTCATGGGTCACTAACTTCCTCCGACTGGATTCCCTCCCACGGCTGCAGCCCTTCCCGAGCTGCTCCGGCGTGGGACACCCCCGCATGCTGCAATCCTCCCAGCACTGAATTACAGCAGTGGGGCTACCTTTTCCCATGAGACCCCGGCCTTCTTCGGGCACAGAACCTTGATCAAACAAGCAGAAGCCACAGGCCACAAATCAATGTCTGCTCCACTGTAGATCTTCATGGATGTCGGGGGGGGCTGCCCTGCCGTCTCACCACAGGATACAGGGGGGTCTCTGCTCCGGCACACCTCCCCCCTCCTTTCTTCCTCCGTTCCTCCACTGACCTTGGTGTTCATGCAGCTGCAGCAACTCCTCCTCACCAGTCCGACTGCCCGTCACCACGTCCCTTCTTAAATATGTTATCGCAGAGGCGCAGCCAATTGGCTCAATTTCCCAAACAGAAGTAGAGCTGACTTGGAGCTGGGGGAGCTTCGAGAAGCTTCTCACAGGGGGCCGCCCTGATAGCCCCCTCCCCTGCCACCAAAAAACTCCACCACTCACTCAACCCAGGACATAATGCAATTTTACAGTGGAATCTCAAATGCCTTTACTTCACTGGGAGATGTGTCAAAAGTACCTTACTTAAATCACCACCTTCCCTTTGCTGTCTCAGTACCAGTAGCATGTTATAGAAATGGTTACAGGTACAGAGAAATGGAGGTTCTAAAATAACATGGAAAGAGTCCTGTATGTCATAGTCTTTCATAAGTGGTTTAGATTATCTTTTTACTATGACATGTGAAGTCTGTGTTAGAGATTCTAAATTGAATCCGTCACTCTTTTTAGTATCAGATAAGAGATATGCATAATGGGTAAACTATGCTCCTGAGCTGCATTAGACCTCTCCGCAGGGGTATAAAATGAGTATGAAGGCATGTGCATACATTATAATATCTTTTCCAAGGTATATAAGCAACACTTCACCTGCTAAGTATGCACAGAAATTTAGGAATCGTGAGATAAAACGCTTACTAGTCAAATGGATATGGTATCTACTCATTTGAAAGCTCCTAAGAATGTAAAAGATGGTGCAATAGTTGGTTGGGGTTTTTTTTTGTTTTTTTGTTTTTTTTTTTTTTTAATCTAAAAGTAAAGTAGCAATAGTTTCTTCTAAAGAGCATTTCTAAAACTGCTGTCTGCCCTTCTGTATGAAACCACAGAGGTAAACTGGCGGTTGAGCTGTGTATGTCTTGATAAGCTTGGGCAAGTGGTTTTGATGCTGAATTCCCTAGTTTTAAGCTAGGATGATTTGAGTGCCGCAGCGTTCCCTTAGCAGTTCTGTTTGATTCTCATTACGTTCACTATTTAACAAAACTTCTGTGTTTCAGTACTTTATCCTGTGCTCTGTGCTAGCTGACATCTGACATTTGGCCTACTTGATATTGATTCCTCTATTAAGCGAGGAGAAGGTTGTGCCTGTTTGACAGTTATAGATTATAAGCTCCATTGGCTGTGATTTATGCTGAACTGGATTTGAATTGAATTTAGGTTTCCTATCTTTAATTAGCCTTTATGCTCTGTTTTAGTGGTTCACATTTTCTTCAGCTTTCTCTTGCTGTGGTGAGCAAATACCTGTGTGTAATTAATCTTTACAACCTGTAAGCTGTTTTTTTTTTTTTTTTTTTAATCTCAGGAGTCATGTAGGGGAATTGTAGTGTGGGGTTTGGGAACTTTTTGAGTGCTAATGCTGGGTAAATATTGAGACTGTTGATTGACACCTGCAAGAGATTTCCTGTAGTGTCTCCAGAGGTATTGCCCTACTCCAGTGTAAGGATCTTGGAGCCTGAAGCTCAGGCTAGAGCTTCACTGGTGCACTCTTAGTCTCTTCCCCCTTGTTCTCGCAGTGACCTGGCACTAACACAGCAGGACATAAGTAGGTTAAAGTTTTGTGCAGATCTCATAAGCTCTGTGTTAACAAAAATTTATTCGTGCTGGACTATTTCAGAAGTTTTAGGGGGAATCTGTTGTCTTTCAGCAAGTCTAGAAATAATGTTCTTTGGTAGACTCCCTTCATGTGAGAAAACAGATGTTCCTACCACTGTGTTTGGGCCAAGGCAACACCCTTGGCACTTCTGACAGAGGCAAATTCAAGATTAAAACTAATCATAGATTAGATAAGTAGGGTTGTTCTTCAAGGTGAAATCCTGTTTCATAAAACACTTGAAGGGCAATTTGACCTCTTGAAGAAAGTTTTATAAACCAAACAAAAACATTAAAAAAATTAAAAAAAAAAAAAACAAACCCAACCTCAAAACAAAAAAAGACTGGAGCCTGAACATTATCTACCAATTACGCTATACTGCACTCTACATTTCCTCTCATCTTGCAACATCACAACAAGTGTCAGCAGAAGCAAGAAATCCTAATCGTTATGTGTGAGCGTACCAGGATGGAAGCTTTAACTGTTCAGGGTGCTCCCTGGATGCTGAAATCAGAACTTAGTATCAGTTTCTGGTGCGGATTCATTTGAACAGTCAGTCTTGATTCATAAATTAAAAGTTGCTTCAGGTCAGCTAAACACTGACTGTTTAACTTCCCAATTAATATGCATGTGTTTTTATTAACCTGTCCTTATATGTTGACAGGCAATAGGAATTGTAGAGCAATTTAGGATAGAGAGAACTTCAGAGACTGGACTAGATGATCCAGCACTTGTCCAAATCAAATCATAAAATGGAGCTGATACACTGTTTTGCTTTGGAGTGTGCTTTCTTCAAAATTTGTTGTTCCTGTGGTATATTAAAATATTGGAAATATAAAAAAATTATCTGTGAATTTTTTTCAGTTCATTGTTTAGTGTGAAGGTGTGTCTGTCTT